TATTTATCAACCAAAAAGTCTCTATAAGCATGTTTCCACTAATGCCATATATGGAAAAATCATGCACATGATGCATATATAATGCTGCTTCACAGTTTAGACAAAAATGGTTAGCTCATGCATTTACATTCCTGCATTCATCAACGCAAGCAACACAACATAGAGCTAATTTACACAACATCACCTTGCAATTCATGCAGGGCTTTGCACAACACACCTGCTGGGTGTGTACACACTACAAAGGTGTTTAGATTCCACCCATAGATCATGCTGGGAGGGAACACACTACAGAGGTGTATACATGTTCGTGGTGTGTTTATAAGGTTAGTAAATCAACCCCCAAGTATCATGAATGCAGAATTTCGTTTATTTTTAGTGAATTCGTCATACTTGTACAGTTTCGGAACTTTGCAGAAGAGGCGTGATTTGTCTACAGTGAAATACTTTCTTGAACAACAATATCAAATTAGCTTTGCAAGCAGAAAACACTTTCCATTGGTTTTATATAATCAGACAGATGGATGTAAGACAGGAACAAGAACATTAAACCAGAACAAAAAATTAACACTTTCTCAACCTTTCAATGGATTTTACTATGGCACAGTGTGTACAGCTCCAGGGACAAGGTTAATAAGCATAAAGCGGAACCGGCGCAGGAGTGCAGCATGCCTCACCACAGGAGCGAGAATATAAAAGAAGTACCCTGTTTCCCTGAAATTAAGACCTACCCCAAAAATAAGACCTAGTACTATTTTTGTTAATTGCTTAAATATAAGACCTACCCCGAAAATAAGACCTAGTTGTGACCATTCCCAGGGCCGGTGGTGGCATAAGGGGAGAACTTGAAGAGCTGCTGGAGAGAATCAGCGGTGCCCACGAAGCTAGCGCTAGAGGAAGCGAGGCGGCAGCGGAGGGAGCAGAGCCGCATAAGCCGATGCCTCCTCTATAGCGCCTATCACAGGCGGAGTGATACCAAATGCATTCCGCCTGTGAGGAATGATAGTGAAAGCGCACTTCCCTCATTCTGGCCAGCGATTGGTTACCAAATTGCTCTTGGAAAGGTACAGCACCCCTGACTGCCCTGATCACCCTATTCTTAACTTTGCCACTCACTCCTGTCTTGTAAGTCTTCTACCGGTAATAAGTGTGGATTGTTGTACATTAAAAAAATAAGACCTACCCTGAAAATAAGACCTAGTGCATTTTGTTGAGTCAAAAAAAATATAAGACAGTGTCTTATTTTCGGGGGAAACACGGTAGATTATGGATGTAATCTGGGTATAGAGGAGGAAGAAGAACGCTGAGCAGAAGGATTAGAGCATGTACATTAAGGCATATATGAACTGCAGTTATTCTCTTGGGCGGAAGATGAATAACTCCAATGAAGTTAATACTAAACAGGAATGTTTAATGAAAGGTCAGGTGACATTTCACTTATTTTAGGAACTCTGCTATCAGTACGGTAGACATAGAAGCTTTATAGTTCTGGTGCACAAACTGTGGCCCTCTGCAGACAGTCGTCTGTTTTGGTGCTTTGTCAAGCCAGTGAAGGAAAGTGTTCTTTAGACTGGCTTCTGGTAGTCCAATAGTTTAATTTGTTTCTTTCACACTAGCTGACTTTTGTCTCTGCTGTCCATCCCTTTTCTATTATTACATTGTGTTTTTTTCCTTTATCAGATGTGGCACAAATCATTTTTAAGGGAGCTGTAAATCTTAATTTCGGTTAAAGGACATGGTGGTGGTATACAGAAGAGTGAGAACAGAGAAGGTAATAAGAGACACTGATGGAATTAGGGAATGACTGAACGCCTTGGGGTGAAAGAGCGGAGGTACATAATAGGGACACATTTGCAGAGGGCAGAGAATAGGGATGCTTCTGGCAAAATAAGCAGAGGGTACAGGCAATGGACACATATGCCAGAACATGCAGAGTGCACAAAAGGGACACATTTTGTAGAAAGAGCAGGCACAGAAGAGGAAGTATTGAGAAAATTGAAGAGAAGGAGCAAACCAGGCACAAAATTGAAGAGCTGTGACGGTAAAATGGAGAAAGTGAGAGAGCAGGTGTGATGATGGATCAGAGAATGGGAAGAGCAAAGAAATTAGATCACTGAGGAGGTAAGTGGTGAATAAACCCCCAGGGAAATATGGTTGGAGGTCAGGGAAGGGGGTGGGGGGACAGTTTGGAGAAGAGTGGAAAGGAAGGAGAATAGAACTTGGGGAACTGCAACATGAGCATTGTTGCTGAAGGGGGAAAAGGGGCCACATAAGAGGAGACAGGAACACTGCAAATTATAGTAAAGAATCATGAACCATCTCCCCCTTCTCTATCTATAAAAAAAAATGGTAAAAGTACCATAAAATAGTCTCCAAAAATCAGGTCACATAATCTGCTTGTCCTTGTTTTTGAGGGAAGGGGGGGCTGCAGAGGCTCATGACACTGGGAGGAGATTATTTTGGGGAGAGCTGGAGAGGCCGCAATGTCCCATCTTCAGTACAGTCCTTTTTCATGCTGCTGCAGTCTAGAGAAAAAAAAGGCAGAAGGATAATCTCTTGTCACTGGAAAGATGCTCTCTCTGTGTCATGGGCAGAGTGGGCTTGTGTTCTTGATAATGTTATGCAAATAGAGACCCTGGTAGTATGCACATGAAGACCTACTGTACCACGGTGTGTGATGTGAATCCCTCTTTGTGGTCTTGCTGGATAGCATGCAGAAGTTCATCTCCTTCAAACAATTAGTCCAGTAGCCAAATCTTCTATAGTTTTTGTAGCTTTGGGCAAGCAACTGGGCATCATGTGATTTTATAAATGTTGCATGGGATTGTGTTATGCTATTCCAAGGTATGGTTATAGTGTGAATCTACTTCTATGTCACATTGTTCTTCTCACCCCTTTAACCATTGCTTTAACCCTTCCCTCTCTTCCCTAAACCAACCCATGTATACAATTACTGTATGTTCCTCAATGTTTGTTTCTGTGTTTTAAATTCTTAAAGTGACATTAAATTCAGGAGTTACATTAACGATTAACATAAATGTGTCTTATTTGTGTGTATCTCAGCTGTAGATACTCAAATCATCTCTGAATTAGAGCTAACACTGTCCTTCCTTCTGGAGGGTGGCTACTTTTGTTCCCCATGGTCCCTGTGTGTGTTGTAAATTAGTCACTTTTCGAAGCTCGCTCCCGTGAGGAACTACAATCTCACATTTAGTTTACTAATTTGTATTGAGATTGTAGTCCATCACAAGAGTGAGCTTGGATTGATGGCTACTCTACAACACACACAGGGGCCATGAGGATCAAAAGTAGCCACCCTCCAGAAGGAAGGACAGTGTCGGCATGAATTCAGAGATTTGAAGATCAGCTGAGTAAACCAATAAGGTACATTTTTGTTAATGGGGTACTGGAATGCATTTTTCAAAGAGAACTATGGCCCAACTTCTTTTGCCATAGATCTCTTTAGGGTCACAGGAGGACATGCTAATGTCCTCCTGTGACCCAAAACCCAGCATATAGCGGGCTATTGCCCGCTATATGCTGACGGCGCAGAGCCGAGCTGCAGCCAGGACGGATCCTGACAATATTGTCGGATCCACCCAATTCCTGATTGGCAGCTGGCTCTCCCCAGTCAGCTTTGCCCACCCCTCCCTCATCCGTCCCTCCAGCAGCACTGGAGGAATAGAGGGGGGGGGGGAATCCCTGTAGGGAGCAGTCACTTGACAGTCACCATTCTCTGCAGGGAGAAGATCAGGAACTCAGCAATTGGTGTTGTGATTGCTCGGTTCCCGATCAATAGAGCTGACGTGTGATAGCTGCAGTGTCACACCACGACTCTCATTATGGGGATGAGTGTATTTCTCTCCCCATAATTCTTTAAGGTTTACCTCCTGAGTTTTTAGGGTCACTTGAAATTTTCAATAAAGAGATGCATAATGAAAATTAAGTCTAACTTTAGAAAAGTTAGTGAGCCAAAAGTAGGCACAGTATTAGATGCCAGGTTTGTTATAAATTGGGAGGTGACCATTCGTTTCAGGGATATGCTTTTATATTTCTATAGAACAAAAATCTTCTAGCTTTTCTGAGACCTCAAACATACTTTCTGTATACAGTTTACTGTAGTGTCTTCATTTACAATTGCCATCTAGACGTGCAAGGATTTCAAGCTTGGCTCTTGTGTGTTCATGTAAAAAGCCGGGTCTCAGATTTCGTTCTGTAACCTGCACCTATGAACTGAAACCAGGTATCTGGTTGCTGTGGGCAATATATCGGTATTGCTTTTTCTCCAGTTTTCATGAGGTGTATTTGCACTGGTAGTATTTCATAGCATATTCTGTAATAGAAAGGCACGCTTGTTTACCAGAAAGACGTAATGAGAAATTGGTTTTAGACCAGTGGGTGTGTGACATTTCACTAATGAGAATTTGTAACTATAAAAAGGTAGAGTCTTTAGGATATTGATGATACTTTTTATACAATGTACATGGAAATGACATGTTTAATCTTCTACCTTGTCAGAACAGCCTGAAATGCTTTTACATTTTTCATATAAGAAATGTGAGATGAACAATGACAATTTCTTGAACTGCTTCTAAAGTGGCAAAACCAGCTGCTGCTGCTGCACAATCCTTTGTCATCTTCTCTAATGGTAATAATAGTGTCTTTAGTGAGGAAAGTAACATTTTTAAAGTCATATTGATTTAATATTAAAAAGGCATCAATAGGAAAATGTTAAATTATGTGACCTGTATATATCAATCTATATATACATACTATCGTACAAGAAATCCAGTGTTGATCTGTTGTCCGGTGTTCTGGCATGGAATAGCAGGCTATGAATGGTCTGGGAACCCCATTTGACAGATCTTGTCCTTGGTGACTAGGGTGACCTGGTATGTGCCTTGTCTGCTTTAATCCAAAATGTAGCTTTTAAAACTTTTCTTTTTGTGGTACGCTTTTGTACTGGCTCATCTCTTTTTTTTTTATTGTATTGCTTCTTGCAGAATAGGCCTCGTCTCATGCAGAGATGTTTCTACGGCTGCGGAGTCTTCTTCTCTACTCATTATCCTTGTCTGTGTTTGGGCTTTTCATCTACTTTAACAAAGAACCTAAAAAAAACCCAGTGCCTGTTACCGCTGACAAGAGGAACGTACAAAAGAAAGAATTTATCTTCTGGGCTACTCCAAAGACAAAACCCATCCAATGCCATCCAAATAGATCCACCCTCAACATCTCTTCATCCTTCCCAGAACCTCATCGCTTGTTCTTAATGTACAAACACTGTCGAAACTTTTCAACACTGCTCAACCCCAAGGAATGTGAGAAAGATACCTTCTTATTGTTGGCCATCAAGTCTCTTCCGATCAATATAGACAGACGGATTGCCATTAGAAATACCTGGGGGAAAAATCAGGACTTTCTGAACAATAAAATTAAGCTGGTGTTCTTGCTCGGGAAGACAGAAGCCAGCATTCCAGCTCAGTCACTGGACCAGTTGCTTTCTTATGAGCACAAGGAGTTTAATGACATTGTCCAGTGGGATTTTATTGACCATTTTTTTAACCTCACACTCAAGGAACTCCATTTTTTGAGGTGGTTCACCAATAGCTGTTCCCATGCCAACTTTGTCCTGAAGGGTGATGATGATGTCTTCATTAATACATACAACATTTTGGAGTTTCTTGATGAAATGGATCCTGAGGGTGACCTTTTTGTTGGAGATGTAATCAGCAAGGCCATCCCTATTAGGAACACAAGGGTGAAATACTTTATTCCTAATGAAATGTACAATGAGAGTCACTACCCTTTGTATGCAGGTGGAGGTGGCTATTTAATGTCCAGAAGGACTACACAACATCTTCTTGCAACAGCTGAAACCACTGAACTGTTTCCGATTGATGATGTATTTGTTGGGATGTGCCTTAAAAAAATGAATGTAACGCCACAGTTTCATGCAGGGTTCAAAACATTTGGCATCCGCAAACCAGCCAACCCATTGGACCCTTGTCTTTATAAAGGGCTAATGGTAGTGCACAAACTGAACCCTACAGAGATGTGGATCATGTGGTCTTTGGTGACCGACAGTGGGATGCAATGCGCACAGTCAAAGAAAACGTTATAATAACATACAGATGTATATTTTCTTTTATTATAGGTAATGGGTTAGGCAGAGAAAAGGACAAATGCCTTCTAAATGTCTACGGTGTTTTAAATTTATCAAGATTGTTGTAGGTAACAGGCAGTTTGGAAACAGAGGGATTGTCAGAGATGTAGATTAAATGTCGCAGCAGCTAAGCGAAGGTTCATTACCAAATATTTTTTACATAGTGGACTGTGTGACATGAGCCGTGTTGTTAGCCTTATCTAATCCTTACAGCAGAGTGTGTCCATTTTTTTTGTCCTCTTTGCAGATAAAGTGGATATGAACAGATTTGCTGAAGCCTCTAGGTACTTCCCCATGTACGATCATGGGGGATCACCTGACCTAAACCAAACTGGACAGTTATGTCTAGGATCGTGCAGTGGTACAATTGTTCATTTTAAAAACATTGGATCCATTTATTACAATGTCATCACCATTTCCAAATTAACTTTTTAGCCACTGAAATGTGTCTCCAGCTTATATCTGCTCAGCTAGGAGAATTTAATGGGATATGGGTAGATATTTTGCAATCTGCTGTATCCATGTGTAGCATGTGCAGCAATCTCTGGGATGCCAGCAATCACACAGACCTATGGATCATACATGGTGAGATTGTTGTATGGTATGGAAAAAGGTTTGCATAGTGCAGCAGTCCTTGGTGGGCCAGCACAAAGAAGTGCCTTTTTAAGAGTAAAATAATTATCTTTGATTATTTTAAAGCTGCCAAAACACGCCAGACTTTATCGAAGGGCCCATAAAAGATCTGATTATGTTGCCTAAAACCACCAGATTCTCAGTTTCAGTTGCCAGTACATTATGAAAGAATTCACTGAAGAATTTGGTTGCTATGAGGACAAAGGCAGTTCTTTATGGCGACATGCTGATGTATATGGCGACATGCTGATGTATAAGGCTTTTTTCATTTTGCCAAGGACAGGGAAATAATAACTTCATGTAGTAACTTCATTGACCATAGCGTCATGTCGGCTGGAATTTCACCAAGGTGAAACCAGAATCTTTCAATCAGATAAAAGAGTTCTTAGAGGTCTACAGAGGTCCATACCCAAACCAGCACTGAACAGAGCACAAATATACATTTTATTTTTGTTTTGGTGACTGGATCTATAGATTTCTATAGTAAATTATTCTACATGTCAAGTGAGCAAATGTACATAGAAAACCATCGTTTGCATTTAGATCCTTTTGATTTACGGACGTAAACACTGTTTTTAATACTAGTGTGCATGAGGCCTAAAATGTCTTTTTCAGTCAAGTTAGTTTGTAGTGTAACACACATGTCCTTTTTTAATTGTAGTGGATGGTTAGATCAGTACAATTCTCAAGTCCATATGCATATTTATAGCAACGTTCTGCTTACAGAACCTCCATGATAAACCACTTCCAACTACATGGTTTAGCTTAGTAATCTGTAGATATGCCTTTTATTTGTGCTTTTAGTTAAAATGATATTAAAGTAAATGTTCCCCCCCCCCCCCCC